CTCTCTCCTTTCCCTTCTTTTCCTCCGCGCGCGCGCCGTGACTTGTGTCAGAATGTCAGAATATCGGCATGGGGCGTGGCTTCTGGCAATTGTCCAGAAATCAGGTCTTGACTCTTTAGGATTACCTACACGGTTGTGCATGTTGACTCTAAGTTGCAACGCTGAAGTGAAAGCCGAGCTTATCTAATTATTACTAACGCCAAACAATGCAGGGGTTTGAATATATTATATAATATATAACCTAATTTGATAAGCTTATGATATAATATATAATGTAATTTAATAAGCTTATGATATATTATTTATATATTATATGTATGGCCGAACCTTGATGACGTATTTGGCTGACGAAAGTTTTTATTACAGTGGTCTTATCTGACTCCTTTGTTTGTGTCCCTTTTCTATAGAGGTTCATTTTTACCTAGATGTGTTTGCTCCGATGTTGAATGCATATTATTATATATATATATCCTGGAATCCTAATGTCTCCCACGTTTATGGGCTCTACCTTGTCAGTTAGCGTGGGCAGATTCGAAGAATTTTTGGTTTCGTTTTCAGTTCCTCTACAGGAAAAGGCTCGGTTTTGCGTTGCTCTGTATTAAATGTTATCGGAGAGGTTGTGGACCATACTTTGAGGAGCGGTTAACATTTTTTGGGCGATTTTTTTTTCTTCCAACAGTCGTGATCAGACTTGCTCGCATGTATTATAATATGGTCGCTTTTAAGGACAAGGGGGCTAACCCAGATTTCGGGGGTTTCCAGAAATTATTGACCTACACTAAAGTTGATATTGCCCTACCTATAGGAGAAGTTTGGTTTCATTGGTGTGTATATTTGTTTGGTTATAGGGAAAACTCTCCTTGTCTTTAAAAGAAACTGAACAAAGGGCCAAAACTTTAGCTTCGATTTTCTCGAAACAGCATTTTTTGGGATAGCCCCTTTGTGCTTAAAAGCGACCATATTATATCTCTTGACTGACTGCCAATGTGGGATCCAGCTCAGAT